AACTGCACTTGTAGGAAACTATTTTATATATCGCGCTTAAATCGAATTCTATTTTATCAACAATCACTGGAGAAATGGGAGTTAAACCGGTTATGCTTTTACAAAAATTTTGGAAATTCTATCGCCAACGGGAAAAGCAGGAAAGGCAAGAGCACACTCAGCCTTGCCTCAACACGCAATTATTCTAACAGTTCATTGCAAAATGGTTATAGCGAAAGGAACCAGCCATGAAACTGGAGTACCTTAACTTTCCTTAAACGACTCGGTAGATATTTTCGTCACAGGTTTGGTAGACCTGATTGGAGGATGAATTGAAAAGCAACCGTAGAAATCGAAATCATAAGGATTCAAACTCCAGAAAGCTTTACTCATTGCAAGCCCCGATTCGCGTAAACTTTAAGTCTTTTTAAGAAAAAGCCGAAAAGGCTATTAAAGGAAAAGGTGGATATGTGACAATAAAAGGTAAGTGAATATAGAGCAGTTTCTTCGCCCACAAGAGGCCACTAAATCTTGTGTCAAAATCGGTTGCAAGCAATTTATTCTGGAGTATTTATTTGATTCGGCCTAGCACGGTATTCAAGAGAAAGGAGCCAAACTTAAAGTCGAGATTCATTAAGCCGAAGTGTAGGAAGGTTGTGTGGGAAGTATCTTGACCCCTTTTTCCATAGTTTACCAGGCGTCGGTGATCTGCAAGTCCGACAACGACTCAATCAACTAGCTAGGGCAAAATAAGGGAATTTTTGACTTCATCCTGCCGTCACGACCTCAAGTGAGCAAAAACACGAAACAAAAACCAAATTCGCACCTACACTCGCAGGAGCACGCAAAATCCGCTAATTGACTAGGGAATTTGACGGCTCTCCCTACTAAATTGCATTTCCACGAAGAGAAATGAGGAGAGCATTGGGGTGGGGAAAAGATGAGGGTGAAAAGAGAAATCCCTCCTGACAGCCCCATTTCACACTCAACGTTCGTGCGTGGTGTAAAATTGTTTAGTGCATTTAAACAAAACACGGCTGAAGGTGGGAGGGACAGCTGGATTGCTCATCATTGCCGCCAACGTAAAAATGGACTAGCTTGCTCCTTCTTCCAATCTCCCATGTCCCTTCGTTTGGTTTAAGTTGACAATAACCACTGTGGAGTATGAATTATCCCTAGTTGACTACTCTACCTTATGGATTTGCTTCTTGCGACATATGTGCATATCGAAATGGGAACCTGAGCCTGCATCCTAAGCCTACTTCGCCTTAGTGCTACTGTGCTTGACTTGAGGCTCGGCAAGAATCTCCCTTCAGGTATTATTTGTTAAGGCAATGGCTAGAGATAATCACTCGCAAACCTGTACATCAATCAAAATGCGTATTTGTTGCCGATGCCTCGTCACGAGTAAGCTGAAATAATATGGACGCTTTACAACCCAGCAAATATCTTTTTAGCGCTTTTACTCACATCAAAATAATTCCCCAACTCCCCTTTCCAGTTTAGAGGGCCGTGAAGGTTGCCAGAAAGACTTATAGGGATCAATTTCGCCTGTGCTATTGATTATTCTTCGATGATGTCAATCAGGATCGTGTGTGCTTGAGTTCCAAAAATCGATAACACTTATTGATCAAATAAGCTGTTGAGTAAATCGAGCAGCGGAGAGCGGAAGTCGCGTGCATTCCAGCAGCATGGGGTGTGTGCGTGAGTGAATGTGACAATGGAAGTGATTGATGCCTGTCAGGAATGGTCAGGAAATCAGGATAAATTTCAAAAAGGTTGCAAACTGGCATGCATTCATGGTAGAAAACTTTTTTAACCAGGTCTCATTGGAAAGAGTACCCACTACAGTTGCATGTTCCATAGTCATTGTAATGAGGTAGTGAAATTGGCTCAATGTTGCCACGCTCATGCCTTGAGAGATGAGACTGATGTCTGCAAATTAAGATTGTTTGAGGAAACATAGATGGACAGTGATCTAGCTCTGACGAATCCAATTTCCACACAAAGTGAATAAAACATCCTTCACCGAAAACATATCACAAGTAAATCAAGAAACAAGATGTCTCTAGGGTCGAAGTTATCTAAAAACCAAGCTTGTGCGGCTGAACTTCTCTATTTTAATTCCAGACGCTGTTGGAATGGTGGGAAAATTTTGGGGACCCTCGATGGGCGCATGTACTGACACGAAGTTGCAGTTGATGGACTCCAAACTGTTATCATACTGTAGGCAGTTGAACGATTTTCTAGGGCTTCGCCTTAGTCATAATGCGAGCGTCATTTGCTGACTTAATGTTTGATTTTGGCAACAAGAGAATTAAGGAATTCCCAATTGCATCGCCAGGCTAGCTCTGTAGCCCACCTAGTTCTTCGTTAGGTCAAAAATGCGCATTCTGCCTGAGTGTTATGCGTGGCAATTGAAAGTGTACCCAATGTAAACTAACATTAGTCCTAAATTCGACAACTAATTGATAAACGTTGGAAAGGTGAAAGTACATATTGCCGCGGATGACAGCCTGTAGTAATCCCCACGCTCTCTAGAAAAGTCGTGAACCATCTGAAAAATAGGTACGGAACTGTCCACCGTTCCTACGTTATGGTATTGAGGAATTGAACACGCGATATTCTCCCCTACCAACTGGATGAAACCCAGATGCCTGCGGCTAGGCAGCAACAGAGAGCTTTATAGCGAGAACTAGAAGCAAGATCACCTCATGAGAAACTGTGTTAAATCCTGCCCTTTGGCACATAAATACTCCAAAGTTATTGCTTCTGCACATTCCTCCGTATCATTATTAGTTCCGAAAGATGATGCGACTTTAACTCCAACAGCGTCATCAAAGGGATCAGTGACGTTGCAGTCACGTTCCTTACCAACTGTCCTCAAATTAGACGACTATCACTAAAATTTACACTTTGATGCCAGCCGCAAAGATTGGCCAAGGAGATAGTCAGAATCGAGGCTGAAAGGAGTGCTGTGGCGCACTGGACGCTTAAAACTGTTTTACTGACGAATCGCTTGGGGACTACACCATTGCGCCTCTACTAGGTCATGCTAGTAACTAAAAGCTTCACTGTACATCAGCAATGCACACTCTATTCCGAAACTGCCTTTCTCTCAACGTTATGGATGCTTCAAATACCTACGGAGCCTACTCCTTTGATTCTAGTTTGACGAAAATGGCTTTGAATCAGTTTACAATTACAGCACTTTTACTTGATCAATAGTGCTATGTCATCCTTTGCACTAGAGTAGGCAGTAGGCAAGCAAAACACTCAAAAGCGGGTATGGTAGCGTTTCATCCTTGCAAGCGAATGCCCTCGCTAGGCGGGTCTATCGGAGGGGAAAGGTGACTACCCCAATCAATGTTTGTCGATAGGGCGAAACACCTTAAACCATTTCTCATATATACAACAACAGCCCTATCTATGCAAGTGTTTTTGGTTAAACAGTAAACTCTATCCCTCTAACGTCCTCTCTAATGCATCTGCAGCAAAGCAGATTTGCACTTCAAGATTACGAGCAGCAGGATTAACAAGCTACGCATTCAAAGAGAAATTCTAGGCGGTTTGATTACAAAACATTTCTGGTACATTGCTATACTTTTACCATCCACTTGAAGTATAGCAGAGAGTTCCATGGACCCTATGCCCCAATTCCTTCCAGTTGGGTAAAGTTTTTGCCCCCAAACCCATGGTGTTCGCGGCTGTGCATGGCTAAATGATCGAAGTGTACGCCGCCTCACATATGGGTACAATTAACCACGAAATTTTCAATCACCTTCTCCGATGGTTGAACAAGATTCAAAGAAAATACGCGTTATTCACATGTCATATCTGCGACAGAGTTTTAAAACCCCATAATGTAAATGGAACCATCATTTCTAATTTTAAGCAACAATGCAACAAGTTCCATTTCCTACTACGAAAATGTGACGTCCAGGGAATGAAGACTATGACGCTTGCTTTACTGCTTGGGTAGAAAACTTTTCCGGCTTCAATAATATAGACGGAGATGGAGGCAAATTGAAAGCCTCCACTTGCATATCCGATATATCTAGTCGTTAACGAATTGTTGCAAATCAGAACGCCTCCGAGAGGCAATAATTAGCCCTGATTTAGAAAGTTTGTACTGTACCAACCGATGCCAATAAATTGACGAATGAGAGAGAATTTTCGATCAGCCCAAACATCAATCAAACAAGATCCAAAGAATGGAGAGCGTTGTTAAAAAGCAGCGATATTTACTAACTGGATGACCTAGTTCAGTGCAGATACATAAGCGAATCTCTTTTAAGAAGTAAAGTGCAAGTGCGACTAACAGTAGCGTCGAGCCCACTTACACGAGAGGTTAATTATTTCCTATTTCGACTATATGAAACTTACTGTCCAAACTCAACCTTACATTTTGGTGACGAATATGTTCAAGTTCTTCCATGCGAATCAGTTGTTAATATCTGAGCGCTGCTGCATCAGAAGGTATGCCACTAACCCGTGTCTTACTAATAACAATTCGGCAAATATGTTGATGTTTATTCAAAAATTCCCCCAATTAATCCGTGTAATACAGTAAAATCACAATGAAGGTGGAGATTTTCGGTTCACAAATCACACCCACTGTAGGTGATGCGGTAAGACCTCGCAGTATTCCTCAGCTAAAACACCGATTAAAAAATACTACTTACAAAATAAAAGTACAACCGTTGTATTTTTTGACAAAATGAAAAAAGTTGGAAGCCAGTTGAAACACGAAGATATCCATTTCAATAATAGAATGTAAGCAGTAAGTAGAGTGTAGAGCGGGAAATCCCTCGGAGATAAATTTTTAACTTTAGAACGAGAATGATTGAATACTTGATTAAGCAATGCACAAAGACAACAGTAGTGCAGGCTAAAGTGTTGAATAGTACAGGAACCTAATAACACTGGAAATGGATAGTTTAAAAGGGAAAAAAGAGAGAGCTTTGAAGACCCAAAAGCAATTGAACTGAAGAATAGTGAAGTAATTAAATTAAATTAAATTAAGACCTCACCTCAAAGTAACAAGTGTCAGCGTCACCATCAGGACAGGGAACGAAGGGCATTGCTACATTCTGCAAGTTGCTCCAAAGTCCCACTTGAATGAAAAAGGCATGCTGCTCGATGTTTTCTGCCATCTCCAATCTCCGCGTAGGTTCACGCTCCAGAAGACCTTTTATGAGCTCCTCAGCCTGTGGAGAGATCCCTCCACCTTCCTCCAGTTGAGTCTCCTCGGAGTTTGGCCAGGGTATGTCTGGAAAATGAGGAGAAAAGAATATAACCTCACAGAAGAAAACTTGTTCCAATGAGCTGCCCTTTATTTCCCTAAGGTGAAAACGCAAAAGGAATACTGGAAGTAGAGATAACGTAGCCTAGAATAATCCAAAAGCCGCAAATTTATTTGACTCTTGGGGATATCCATCAAGAATTCGATATAGTTTTGAAGAGGGCAGACACCTAAGCAGGTGTCTGGTATGAAACCATGGGTACAAAGATCTAGCGCTAAGATAACTTCCACATTATGGATAGTGCAGAAGCACAATACCCTCCTATATCTGAGTAGATGGTCGTAAGATCGAAATGTAAAAGCCGAAGTTAAACAAAAACAAGACCAAACTCATTGGAAGTGCCTCCCACAGCGTATGCATTTTTGGAGGGACCAAACAAGACCGTGAAGGTGTGCAACAGGAATAAATTTATTGTAGAAACCTCCTTTTAGTTATTCATTCGTTCAAGCAATTATCGGCACACTCTCCCCTTTAAGATAAGTATTACACTTCTCATAATACGATTTTATGCAATTTTTGAGTGCTACTGGTAAGAAAGGGCGCTGATCACTAATTAAAGCTCAAAGGGTTCATGAAGGAAAGAATTAATGCAATATTCGAGTGCTCACAATGGTTCTTCGTTTCTATGCAGTGAGAGGTTTTGAGTTGTCTCATAGGGAGACCACCTTTTCTGGCTGACTCACTGGGTCTAACTACTTCTCAAAAATAACTTCTCTATGCACACGCTTGAGATGAATTGAGGAACTTGACGTACAGAATTCCTTACCACAACAACCCGCTTTGATTTAATCAACTATGTTTGCGTTGCAAATGGCTTATTATTAAAGCTGTTTTCGTAAAGCGTATTCAGGGGCAAATCAAAGCACGTGTTACCCAATTTGATGATATGATCAAATATATCCTCCAAGTTATCGTCAGCGAATGGAGAAACCCCGGTGAGCATTTCAAAGAGGATCACTCCTAGCGCCCACCAATCAACGGCAGGGTTATCTGCGGCCTGTTGATAGTGTGGAAAGGCGAGCAGCTCCGGTGCCAGGTATTCTGGTGTGCCCAGAACGTGCCGCGGTCGTGAATACGGTAGAGCTGAGGACGATGGTGGCTGCTAGTGGATACAATCGGAAGGCTGTATGACGACCAAAACATCCGACAAGAACATAAAGCGACTTAGAAAAAGTAATTAAAGGAAATGTAACATAGCAATGGCTTTCCCATGATTTTGTAAACCAGTCCGTTTTCACAGATTTCGGTAACTACCTGAATTTTGTAATTACCAAGCTTATGTTTTCAGCAGTAGCATGTGAACCTGATCAAGCAGGAAAAAATATTGCTTACGACGGGTGGTAATTTGGATGTTTCAAAGGGAGAAAGGCAAATGTGCCAGAAAGATGAATACACCAGTTAAAACCCTAGTGTGCTGATGGTAGTCCGATAAATAATTCACAAATCTTACTGTCTGTTTATGCTAAATTCCCAATTGGGAGTCCCATAATTGGCTTCAGCTGAGAAATGAGTGCTAAATGACGCCTGATGGGGTACCTACCCGAGGTTCACAGTGAAAGGAGGCCGAGGTGTGCGGATCGTATGGTATCCCTGTTAAGCGAAGAGCAACAGGGACAGGCGTTGGCTGATGACCAAAGCTGCGAGTAGGCATGTCGTTAGATTCGCCGTCACTGCTGTCAAAAAGTTGCGAAGACGTTTTACAAATCTGTGGATCCAGCACGAATCTTCTTTCCCTTCCTCCCGCCTAATAACAAATCCATTTGTAAGGCAATAAACAAATTAGCACCACTTATTAGCAATAATATCTCAGATATTAGATATAAACTTTGAAGGCAAATAAAATGTAAAGAATTGCTAAAATTAGAAGCTCAAAAAAGGGGACGACTTTCCTTAATGGTACTTACCCGTCTGGAATCCAACAAAAGCACGATTTAGCGAAGAAATAGCTAACATTGACTGATGCGTTTAACGGAGGTGGATGTAATTTATTAGCCAGTAAATTCTTCCGTTTAAATTTTGAAGGACAAGATAAAATGGGCCAGTTTTAAAGGCGATAATTAAAAAGTTGGACATTGAACTAACAGGAGCGAAAGTTTCCAGGGGTGCTCAAGAGACACCCAAAGACGGGCTATTAAGCAAGACATAACTTGCTGTACGACGTTTCAAAGATGATTACAGAGGAAGAGAGAATGGATAGCTTTGATTTGAGGTACTAAGATAGTGGTTCCGCAATAAAAACAGGTAAGAATAACCTTTTGGGGATAATCAAATGATAACGCCATTAAAATCCACATCGACAAGCACAAATGCAAGAAGGTGAAGCATCACATGCTCACTTTTGAGCCCACCAAATTGCTACGATGTCGTAATGACCTCGGAGTTCTCAGAGGTGTCACCTGTGCCCCCAGAGGTGCCGTACCCTCGTCAAATTTGATCGGTTTGGAGGGATTCAATTGAGACAAACATATGGCATCTAAGGAGAAGTTTTTGATGGCTTGCTTTCATTCAATGCATTAAAAAAATAATAAATGATTCATAATTGAACTATGATAGCACTCTACTGATGAAATAAATCATTACTTGGTGAAAATGTAGCTGGTGAAGCAAGTTTCAGATCCATACAAGATAGTATCAAGTATCTTACTATTGAAATCGGCCGAAGTGATGTGTTTTCGCCGGCCAATGTGGTCAAAAGAAGTGGTGGCAGGAGCCTTAGTTCTGATGCCCTTTCGAGGGGGTCGAGAGGGAGTCTTGAACTCAAAGCCGGGAGTATAAGGTACATTCTCCTTATTATTGTCTTCCATACTATGAAAGAGTACAAAATCACTTAATCATGCCATTTCAATACTAAGAAAGTTGGATCAAGAACGAAGAACCCACGATTTCGCACAACTTCTTTGATCCGCATCAAGAGAGTTTATGGAAGAGGAAGAAGCTAGCGAGTTTTTGGTAGAGTAGGTAAGCTTTACAGCTGAAAAAGTACGCCGGAGATGAGGTAAGGACACGTAGCGACAGTGAGCTGGTGATGAACTACGCGGTAGTCGAAGATCCAGTTTGTCATCGTAGCATTCATTACTTCCACCAATGGACGAAATCGGAGACTTGATTTTTGAAAAAAAAATTGTCATCGTCTATTCAGCATTTTGTAACTCAAGCTACTTATAAGTTGTTCTATTCGTACAATTGACTGCACGAATAAAAAATTTACTCGAGTAGTTACCAGTGTGATTAGAAACAATTTTATGCATTTATGTGTAACTTGAGGTACAGGTAAGGGTCAAGCCATCGGAGCAGTGCTGTTTACCTTGCATTAGGGAATTTTGCTGCTATTTTCAACATTGATAAATGCAAAAAATGTGATGGGAACCCACAGCAGGTGTTCTAAGAGACATCTGGCATTTGAGGGGCTTTAAGTCATCGGAGAGAAATCGAGTCCTTGAGCCGACAGTATTGTCCATCGAGGGAAAGGACCGGCTGCGTCTATGTGATGACTCGTGGAATTTGGTGGAGATAAACGTCCGGGTAGAGGTCAACAGTGACCACGATGGATTTTATGAAAATTTTTCAAAGATATTATGGGGAAATCGAAGTTAAGTGCATCAGCTTTTCGTTAGGGGCATTGTCAACACTGTGAGATGTTTTAAACAATTGTTTACAGGCTGCTATTAGCATTCTTTATAGCATAGGAGAAGCCTTAGTAAAAATTGCAGTTGAGCTAGGAAAGCGGCAGATGAAATATGGTATCGTTGAGAAAACACCGTTCCAAAAGCCTCGAATTCATTGAGTCACTAAAACGGTTTTATAGGAGAAATACATTAAAGACTTGGGGCCAATTTGGTATAGGAATAGAATTCTGGATTATTGGTTCCATCTCACTTTGGGAGGCGGTAAGGCGATAAAAACAACTAGACTCACCAGACCTACCATTACATTTGAATCACTGGGAGCATCTGAAGACTCAGTCAGCAGAGAGTTCTTCTGTAAAGCCCCAAAAAAACCCAGCAACTTGAGGAAAAACAAAAACAAGAGACAAGAGGCAGGGAAGAGGAGAGCTACATACGAATGAGAGATCCGTAGTGAGGGAGATGACTTGACCAGGTGTGCGGAGAAAGCCTTGCTGCGTCTGTGTGGCCGAGGGTGTGTAAAGAACATCCGCCGGCGAGAGGACTGAGGGATAAAGTTGAATACATCTTGCAGCAAATTCGACAACTAGCTCATAAATTTACGACCTTTAAAAAAATTTACTGATCCCAACTAAGAAAATCAGTCTAAATCTTGAAGACTCCTTTGAGTTGGCAAGGGAGGCGTTCAACCAGTTTGCTGCAAACCATTAAACGTTTAACCCTATTCGTAGCTCGTGGTCTGCTGACTTTGCAGACAGCAGTATTGACTTGAGGTAGTGAGTAGAATCAGGGGGTCAATGAACCGAAATTCTGACAGAGTTCAGTCCCTGAGCTCCAATTCTTTTGGATCCCATTCTTGGGTTCGGTGTTTGTACGATTCAACAGGAACAAACAGTACTTCTAGTAAGCCTTTTTCCCATTGCCCCGCCTTGTTCGACGAAGATGTACTCGAAGTTTCACGTCGCTAGAGGGCTTAATACCATCCAAAATTCTTGATACTTTATTTCCCATTGGTCATAAGCGAAATTTCAATTTAGAAAAATAATTTTTATCTTACATCCATGTTATTTCTCCCTAAGTGGGCTACTACTTCAATGCGAAATAGTATTGGTGATGCTGCATCACAAATACTACATCGTTCCGGTGCACAACCCGTCAAACATTGCCATGAAACTTCTGACATTTCATAGCTGGGTCTCAATTATCATTAACAGGCTGGATTCACACTTGATAAATAATGTCCAACAGGCGCACCCTTTGACCAACTGACGGAGGAGAGACCGAAGTCGGTCAACTTGAGGTGACCCTTAGCCGTAATGAGAATATTGTCTGGTTTAAGGTCCCTATGGATGATCCCGTGTTCGTGAAGGTATTTGACCGCAATCACCATCTCAGCCATGTACAGTGAAGCATGCCTTTCATCCAGGTAGCCCGCCATCATGATCAGCGACTTCAAATCGCCACCGATGAGGTACTCCATTATCTAAAGACCGTGGGAGTATAAAGAAAAACCAAAGCTTGTATCTCACCAAATAGACATAGTTCTTTGTTTGCAATGAATAATAAAGATGGACGATGTAGGGACATTTGCTGACAGCTAAGGCATTGCGTTCGGCGGTTACTGAGGCAATACTTATCGGCAAATAAGAACCAACCCTGACTAACCAGATTTTTTTTATGCATAGCCGACTTCGACATAACTTTGATAGCATATAGCTGATTCCTGTTGTTCTTCTTAGCGCCTAAGAAGACCTTCCTGAAGGAAATGGATTTAGTTAGATTGCTAAGTTCATACCCATAGGCTCCACGGCTTATGGGCTTGAGGATGACGAAGTCCGATATTGATGGAGCAGTCTAAATGCATATGAATGACAAGATGCAACAGGACCACTATTATTGGAAAAGTAAAAATAAGCAAATAAAAATGTGTAAAAAGTAGGAAAGTTTAGAGGTGTACTAGCTTTGAGCTTCCAACAGAACCGTTTCTAACTAAGTCAAAGTAATAGCATAACCAAAATATCCCTCTCGTGCGACATGCATATGATGCCTTGGTAAATGCAACTCAACAACAGATTAACCTACGTAATAAAAAAACTACTGAAAAAAATAAATTGACATCTAGACTCAAAAACAAAAAAACAATTTTCTCCTCATGCAATGGCAAGAATGAAGGAAAGAGCAATAAACGGAACCGAAATCTAAACACGCGTAAAACACACCATTACGGATGACCAAAAGCAGCGGACTGCGCATTTTCCTAGCTATCGATTGAGTAAAACAATCCCCATTAAAATTTAATGCTTAAAAAAAGGCATTAAAACACAAATTATAAAAAATTATACATAACATAAAAAAAATTTGTCAACAATGTACACTAATAAGACATATTTTCGAGTCTAAGTCGCAATAGCAATCTGCTAAAGGAGGAGATAAATAGATCAAATTTAACAATGCCAAGGATAAACGAGTATGCAAGTATAAGCTGTGTTACCCTTGTAAAACTCAGGATTTGTATGTTTTGCGAAAAATAGAACGAGAAGCAATAAAGAAGATTCAGGAATAGGATTGCGTTAGGGTTAGGGTTAGGGTTAGGGTTAGGGTTAGGGTTAGGGTTAGGGTTAGGGTTAGGG